ATATATGTCTTCAGTCAAACGTTTAAGCCTGGTCTGAAACATTTGTCCTCTGTTTTTGGACGTTGTTTAAAACATAAATAAAAACATCTCATAAACTCATTTTTAACGTTCAAACTAAAATGTTTGTCCAGTTTTAGTAAAAACAGTAATTCTCCGTTTGGAGACTTGTTTCTTTAGAAATGCCCTCTGTCCACCCAGACCAAAGTCCTGAACCTCTTCCTGGTTTCAGACCATGCAGGGCAGTGAGTGCATCTTTGAGGCGGTGGAGCAGCAGGACCTGGATGCCGTGCAGATACTACTGTACCAGTTCTCAGCTGAAGAACTGGATCTGAACACGCCCAACAGCCAGGGCTTAACACCGCTTGACATTGCTGTCATGACCAACAACACGCCCATTGCCAAGCTGCTGCTGAAGGCCGGCGGCAAGGAGAGCCCTCACTGTGAGTACCGTCTCAGATCAGACATGGTCTTTAACCTGCTGCTAACTCCGGGGGGGGGGCAGAGTAAATCCCGAGATCCTAAAATATTTAAACAATTGGATCATCAGCGTAGAGTGTTACCGTTTATCATTCTGACTTTAACCAAGTCAGTAAAATCTGATGTTTGGGTTTTTATATAAGCCTTTAAACCAGTGGTTCTTAAAGTTAGTCGGGGGTCTTCTTCTTCTTCTTCTTCTTGTGAGAGGAGTGTGAGTGGAAGAGCAAAAGCAGTGAGAGCAGTTTTTCATACTATATTTCTGTCCTTTTTCTATTTCTTTCACTGGGGGTTATTGTTATGTTGATTGTTTAGTTGTGGGTTTTGTTAGTTAAGTTCTAAGGTTTTGTTTCACGAGGATGTGGCCGTCAGGTGCACCTGGCTGGCTGGCATCTGAAGACGCCATGGCGGTAGTCAAGGAGGGATTCTCTGCTCTGACACAGAGAAGCGGCATCAAGGTGGGTGCTGGCTCTCCATGTTGCATGGAGGAAATCTGTTTGTCGGTGGGGGAGGTCATCGGATTTATGAGTCTTAACAGCTTCAGGGTAGAAGCTGTTCCTCAGTCTAGTGGTTCTGCCCTTCATGCTCCTCAACCTCCTTCATGAGGGGAGCGGGGCAACAAGTGTGTGTGCTGAGTGAGTGTGGTCCTTCATGATACAGGTGGCCCTCTTCCTGCATCTGGAGGTGTAGATGTCTGTGATGGTGGAGAGGCTGACTCCAACATCTTCTGTGCAGCCTTCACCACTCTCTGCAAAGCTTTTCTTTCTGCAGCTGTGCAGCCTCCATGCCACACGTTGATGCTGGAGCACAGGATGCTCTCCACTGCACACCTGTAGAAGGAGGTGAGGACTGAGCTTCCAGACCAGCTCGTCTCAGCCGCCTGAGGAAGTAGAGCAGGGGTAGGGAACCTTTTTGGCTGAGAGAGTCATAAACGCCACATATTTTAAAATGTAATTCTGTGAGAGCCATACAATATTTTTTAAAACTAAATACAAGTAAATGTGTGCATTTTATGTAAGACCAACACTTTTAAAGTACAATAAGCCTCTGAATTCTTTTAAATAACATTGGTGATAAACAAAGTATTTCTTACCATTAATGCGACTTCTGGTGCTGCATGGTTTTGCTGATGGTTTTGTAGTCTGGTTGATATGTAGTGAGGTTAAGCTTCATGCAGGCGTTGAGACTTCCATCCATTAAACGTGATCGTAGGTTGGTCTTAATGTTCTTTAGATGTGAGAAAGATTGCTCACATGCATACGTAGAGCCAACATTGTCAGTACAGCAATACTCACACGCTGCAGTGTGTGGTATGTGACGGGAAGTGCGTTCCAAGTTTTGACAATCAGCTGGTTCGCGGGTTGAAGTTTTTTCAATTCTCCCCACTTGTGTTGGCTCGCCAACTCTGCTTGCTGTCGTGCAAGTCTTTCTAAATCTTCATTCAGTGACTTGAACTTATTCATCCACGTGTCTGAGGCCTTCAGGTCAGCAGCTTGTAGCTCAAACTCTCTGACGGAGACACCGGGGATGTAACTTTGGTCGGCGCTGTCCACTGCACACTCGTGTGGATGGGGATGAACTTAAAAAGACGAGTGCGCTCACAAAATTCTCCAAAGCGTGCTTTGAATGACTGCAGGAGATTAGATGTGAAGCCTGCTAGCTGCTATCTGATCAAGATGTTGAGCAGGGTCACTTGCTGTGCATGCATCTTTAAACGCTCCCAGTTTTTCAAAGTGTAGTAAACGACCTGTTTCAATGTCGGCGATGAAGAGTTCTAGTTTGTTTTCAAATTCAAACACTGCTTGTTGAAGGGATAAGACTGTATTTCCAACACCTTGCATTTTCACATTGAGCTGGTTCAGATGTTCAGTCATGTCCACAAGAATGTAGAACTTCAGGACCTAACCTCAGTGTTAGCCAACTCAGGATGCTGGACGTTTTTCATTTCAAGAAAAGTCCGGATTTCGCTCAAACAAGCCGTAAAACGGCTGAGCACCTTCCCTCTTGACAACCAACGCACATTACTGTGCAGGAGCAGACCAGGATTATTATTCCCAACTTCTTCCAGCAGTGCTTTAAACCGGCCATCATTTAAAGCTCGGGCAACAATAAAGTTGACCACATGAATGACCAGCGACATCACCTCACCAAGCTGCTCGCCACACATCTGAGCACAAAGCGCCTCCTGATGTAGGATGCAGTGAAAACTTAGGGTGGGTCTCTTTTCATGTTCACGAAGCAGTGCTACGAATCCTCTGTTTTTCCCCACCATGCACGGAGCACCATCAGTACACACTGAAATAAGTTTATCCATCGGTAGATTGTTTTTCTTTAGCGAACTCAGTGAAAGACTTGAATAAATCCTCCCCGTTGTCCCTTTCAGAGGCAAAACAGCAAGACTTTCGTCACGTAGTGTCACCGACAGCATACCTTGCAATCACGCTGAACTGGGATAAATGGCTTATGTCTGTTGACTCATCCAAAGCGAGAGAAAAGAATGTTCTGCATTTATGTCTGTCACTTGTGTTGCCTCAATTTGATTTGCCATCATGATGGTACGATCATGAACAGTTCTTGCCAACAGAGGCATGTCTTTTATTCGTTTAATTATCTTGTCTTTATCCGAAAAGTTGTCAAAAAGTTCACTGGCAACATCAAGCATGAATGTTTTGGCATACTCACCATCTGTGATTGGCTTTCCGTTTCTCACAATTGCTAAAGCACCAGCAAAACTAGCCGAATGCCGGTCACCTTGTTGGGTCCAAACACGGATTTGCTGACTAGTTTGCACTCTGCACAGTAGCTCTTCACATGCTTTCTTTCTGCTGTCCCCCACAGGATTTTTTAATGCAAATGTAGCATGGCGTGTGTCGAAGTGCCACTTTATATTTGAACGTTTCATCGATGCAATTTTATCATTGCATATTAGACACACTGCAGAACCTGCTCTCTCCACAAAAGCGAATTCCTCTGTCCATTCCTGCTGAAAAGTACGATACTCCTCATCTCATTTTCTTTTAGACATCTTCGTCGACACGTTTCCGCAACTAGCAAGCTAGCTGCTATGAAGGACATTTACTTCCTGACCACGTCACCCATGTACGTTACGCATTATCCGATTGGCTCCAGCCACCCGCGGACAGCTGTGATTGGCTCCAGCCACCCGCGACCATCTTTTATATTTTTATCGTTATTATTTTTTTTATTAAAGATTTGTCTGCGAGCCAGATGCAGCCATCAAAAGAGCAACATCTGGCTCGCGAGCCATAGGTTCCCGACCCCTGAAGTAGAGTCTCTGATGAGCTTTCTTGGTCAGGCTGGTGGTGTTGTTGCCCCACTGTCTATATATATATATATACCCACTGTCCCTCCTCTGGACATGTCCAAACCACTGTCTCTCCTCTGGACATGTCCAAACCACTGTCCCTCCTCTGGACATGTCCAAACCATCTCAGTGTGTCCTCTCTAACTTTATCTCCCAGTTGTTCAACCTGTGCTGTACCTCTGATGATCTCATTCCTGATCTTTTCCATCCTTGTCTCTCCTAAGGAGAACCTCAACATCTTGATTTATGCCACTCCCAGTTCTGTCTCCTGTCTTTGTCCATGTCTCTGTCTCCAGACTATACAACATAGCTGGTCTCACCACTGTCTTGTAAACTTTTCATGTGACCTTTGCTGACACCTTTTTGTCACAAATCACTCCTGAAACTTTTCTCCATCCACTCCATCCTGCCTGGACTCTCTTCTTCACCTCTTTACCACACTCCCCATGTTCCTGGACAGTGGACCCCAAGTCCTTGAAGTCCTGAACCTTTGTGGCAGGGCAGCTGTGACTGAGTGGTTAGAGCAGTCATTCTCCAATGCAAGAGTTAGGGGTTTGTATCCGCCGAAATGTCCCTGGGCAAGATACTAAACCCCTCATTGCCTCCAGTGTGTGTCCCATTGATGTATGGATGTGATAAAGCTCTGATTATTCTTTGTACAGATCTAGTAGAGTGCTGTATGAATGGGTAACTGAGGCACAGATTGTTGTAGTAAAGAGCTTTGAGTGTCTTGATAAGAAAGAAGGGAGCTTTATAAGTACAGCCCATTTACCATTTGTGACCTCTGCTCCTTTAGCCTCACTGTTCCACCTCCTCCCTCTCATTCACACACATGGACTCTGTCTTACTATGGCTGACTTTCATGCCTCTTCTTTCAAGTGCATACCTCCACCTCTCCAAGTTCTCTTCCACCTGTTCCCTGTTCTCACCACAGATCACAATGTCATCTGCAAACATCATAGTCGATGGGGATTTCTGCCTGACCTCCTCTGTTAGTCGGTCCATCACCAGAGCAAACAAGAAGGGGCTCAGAACTGATCCTTGATGCACTCCCACGATCCTTGATGTAATCCCAAAAGTGAGTCAGGCCCCCCTGTGTGTCACAAAACATCAAGTGTGGGTCCTGAAACATTTCATCTAAAACCAGGTCTTACTTTTCAAAGTTGGTTCTCTGTGGACTGGACTGTTTGTGTCTGGGCAAATTGTAAATGGACTGTACTTAATAGCACTTTTCTACCTTATCAAGATACTCAAAGCTCTTTAGAACAATCTGTGCCATCATTTACTCATTCATTCAGCACTCTACTAGATCTGTATAACAATTAGTCAGAGCTTTATCACATTTGTACATCAATGGGACACACTTTGGAGGCAACGAGGGGTTCAGTGTCTTGCCCAGGGACACTTCAACATGTGACTGCTGGTGGAACGGAGCCCCCAACTCTTGCATTGGAGGACGACTGCTCTAAGTACTCAGCCACAGCCGCTGAGTAGACTTGGGTCTGAGTAGACCTGCTACATCCACAGGCAGGTGGATCCTATCTTCCTGCTGGCAGCTCCAACCACCTGGCCATGTGAGTGTGAGTGTGTATGTGAAGCAGAAATAGAGGCCTCTTTACAGCAACCTCCCACCTTCCCCCAGCTTTAAGGAAGTTTTATGGTGCTGGTGCGGGGAGGGGCGAGGGTGTGTGTGGGGGGGTGCACGCTCCACACTAACGGATGATGATCCTGCCCCTGTAAACAAACAGAGCAAACAGAACCACCCTGGTCACCGGCTCTGTTTATGTCATTCCTCAAGTACCGAGTAAATCAGTGTGTGTGTCACACAAAGCAGTTCAGTACGTATCTCGGTTTTAGGGAAACAGGTCAGATCTTGGTTTTAGTGCAGGGGTGTGTAGTCCTAGTCATTGAGGGCAACTATCCTGCACAGTGTGGATGGTTCTTTTCTTCAACACATCTGCTTTTAATCAGTTTGTGGCCATCACCATGCTTCTGGAGAACATCAAGCAGTAATTCATCCAGACTCAGGTGTGTTGGAGCAGGAACATGGGTAAAACATGCAGGATAGTGGCCTTCCATGACCAGGACTGGACACTCCTGGTTTGGGGTCACAGTTTCTTCTTTGTGATTGTGATTTCATGTTTCAGCTCCAGTTTCTGTCCGTCACAGAGAACATACCTGCAGCATCAGATTTTTTCTGATTCACAGGAGACGAGGCGCTCACTGACAGGAAACAGTTTGATTCTTAAATTATGAAACAATAATCAATTTAGTCATGGCGGGGCGTCACAGTCTGCATGGTTTGGATTCAGCTATAGTTTCCTGAATGTTCACAAGCTGACAGAAACAGTCATCGTCCAACGGTTTTATGTTTGGATATGAACTGGGAAAAGTTTCAGTGGTTGCCATGGAAACATCTCACACACCACAGTTCCCACTGAAACTTCTGGCCATGGGTTTTCAGATTCATATCCTTTGACCCGAGAGAAAAACCTCCAGGACTTCGTGACATAGAGTTTGATGGTTCTCCTGACAGACTCCATCTCTGTCTCCATCTGCTGCTGTCAATAAAATAATGAAACTTTGTTTGTGTTAGTTGTGAGCGTGGAGAGTCGGGAGGCTCACCTGAGTGCTCTGGTGCTGGAGGCGGAGCGTCGGGCAGCCGACCTGGCAGCTCAGGCTCAGAGGGACGGCCTCTCGCTTGAAGCCTGCCACAAAGACAAGCAGCTGAGGACGTGGGAGTGGAGGAACAAGCTGTACAAGCGCATGAAGACGGGCTTCCAGCATGCGCGTGAGTCACACGTGCACCTAACGGGTTAGGGAGGTCCTCCTCATCTGTACACACTGTCACACCTTCACCTGTACAGACCCACACCTCTGTGTGCCCCTGCTCAGGTCCCCCAGAGGCCCCGACCATGGTCCGTCTGAGCGTGACTAGCAGCACCACATTGACCGTCACCTTCCAGGAGCCGCAGAGTCTGAATTCCACCGTGGTGACCAAATACAGAGGTGAGGCCTGACCAGATCAAAACCGCAGACCATCCTGGGGCAGACATCTAAAGGTCCAGAGACTGTCCTGAGGCAGAACATGTTCTTCTGAAGGTTGAGAGACCATTCTGAGGAAGAACAGGTTACTCTGAAGCCTCAGAGACTGTCCTGAGGAAGAACAGGTTACTCTGAAGGTTCAGAGACTGTCCTAAAACAGAATAGGTTCCTTTGAGGGTCTCGAGACTGTCCTGAGAAAGAACAGGTTCTTCTGAAGGTTGAGAGACCATCCTGAGGAAGAACAGGTTCTTCTGAAGGTTGAGAGACCGTCCTGAGGAAGAACAGGTTCCTCTGAAGGTTCAGAGACCGTCCTGAAACAGAACAGTTTTCTTTGAGGTTCTAGAGACCATCTGGAGAGCAGCAGCTTTACAGGCTCCTGGTGAACACAATCTTTTTGCTCTTGTTGCTTTTGTTTTAACCTTTTTTTTTTTGGGCGCCTACAATGTACATCCATGGTACAGGTATGACCGTGACACACGTGTGTAGTTTTCATTGTCGCTGCCTTGCCATCGTGCCATCCTCCATCGTGGTTGAGTCCTCTCAGGCCTGTAATGGCAGCTGTCTCCATGATCCTCCATCTGCCTGCTTGGACTGATCTCTACTGACCCGTTCGGTTCCACAGGGAACCCTTGGATGTTCTCCGCCTGCAGGACCCGGTTCGGGAGGGCTGTCTGGGAGGGCAGCTGCTGCAGTCATTGTTGCCATCAAGCTGCTGACAGGACCTGCTAACTAGACCTGCTAATGTTGCTAACAAGATCCTCCGTCTGCCTGCACGGACCAAACTCTGCAGACCCGCTTGGCTCCACGGGGGAACCTTGGATGTTCTCTATCTGCCGGACCCAGTTCTGTAGAGCAGTCTGGGAGGCAGCTGCTATGGTCCTTATTATCATCCAGCTGCTGACGGGACTTGCTAACAAGACCTGTTAAAGCTGCTAACACCACGCCGATAACTAAACCATACCGCTAAAAGTACCACGGTGCCAACGGGACTATGTTGCTAAGAGAAACCTCATTGCTAACAGTATCATGCAGCTAGCTGGTCCATGTTGCTAAGATAACCTCACTGTCATCAGAACCACTCTGCCAATAGGACCATGCTGCTGTAGATTTATTTCTTTTTCACTTTTGGTGCCTTGTTCTTGTGTTTTTGTTGCATGCTTTGAATAAATACCAGTTTATGTTAGTTCAGGAGTCAGCTCCGAACTAGGGCATTAACAGAGTCCTCGAGTAATCTACACATCGATTGCTAGAACATCTATCGAGGTTAAAAATGTAACGTCGAGTATCCGTAGTGACGTCATATTATGTGACCACCGTAGGGGGCGGTGTTGCACTGTTGCAGGTCACAGAGTATGGTGTAACACCGGGTCCAATCCACCGAACCAGAACCAGCTTCCTCTTGTTTCACAAACAAAACGCAAAACATATTCATCTCTAAACCTATAAAAAAATCTATAAACATATTAATCTCTAAAACTAAACTTAATGCGCACCACAGCTGGCGGTGGTGCGGGGTGGTCGACCCGCCATTGTTAAGTTTCGTTTTTGACGTGCTGCACGTTTCTTCACGTTTGCAGTTTAATAATAAAAACTAATAGTTTAGTTTTTCCTGTGACTTATTTGCAGTATGATAAATGGGAGGAGCATAATATATGCTCCCAATGTTTTGTTGGTCTTTTTTTGTAAATAATTACCTTTTTTGCAGTTTTATTTATTTATTTATTTTTGTATCTTGAGATCTATGACGTCATCAAATACTCGAGTTCTACTCGGGTTTTATTATGTTAATGTTGAGTTTAAAAATGATATACTCGTTCAACCCCTACTCCAAACCCATTTCCGCTCGCATTAGCGTGTGAACTATAGCCGAACTAAACCTATTAGAATCGTGCTGCTGCTGTTCTGTGTATTGTTTTGCACTATTAGTGACTAGCGTATATCTTAGATCTGTTACCGTACCGTTGGGCGTTCGTTTAGCGTATATCTTTGATTAGTTCTTAGATCCTTATTTACTGTTTCTTTTTACACTTTATATTTTTGCTATTGATTCAGATTCAGATACTCTTTATTGTCGTTTGCACCACATGTAGTACATGTGGTGGAGTGAAATTATGTACACAGGGTCCCAGTTACATCCAACAATAAAATGTAAAAGAAACACCGTAATAAGATCTAAGACATAACTAAGACTGGTGTAACCCCCATGCAACATTGGGCTACTGAACCCATATCTGAAATTTAGGTTGTAATACTGGGAAGGTCCAGCAGAGTGAGTTAAATTTAACCAACGTGGTTTGGTCATTTTCCCCTATATTCTGAGGCATGGTCTTTACACGTGCACTGACGGACCAAACTGTGGACCTTGCAACCTGTCTATAAGTGACAGAAGTGACCACTCATTGAGAATTATCTGTGGAAGTCCCAGTGAGAGACCGAGGTGACCTCTTGTTAAGTAATAGCTTGTGGAAATTCCGATTGGTTTTATAGGACCTTCTCGTACTCCGCTCATGTTTCCTGGAATATCTTACAAAAAGATTTGAAGCTCTCGACCTTTGACCTCTCTAAGTGTCTTTAAGAATCTGTTGGACTCCTGGCAGGGACCAATGCTGACATGTTCCTGTTTTTAGTTTTCTACATTCGCCTTAGAATCTAGCTGTTTTATTACTTTTCTTTTTTTAGCCATCCTATTTGTAAAAAAAACAACAACAATTGTATGACTTTTTATAACTGTTTATTGTTGTCTTGTTGTCCATTGTTGTCATCATTCTTTGTTGAAATCAGGTCTCTCTTGTAAATGAGTCCTCGAGGCTCGATGGGATTTACCTGTCGAAATAAAGGTTGAATGAATAGTGACTCTGGATTCTTTGATCGTGATGGCGAGCCGAGCCCATGCGAACTGTGGACAGGCGTAAACGGTGTGGCCAGCCGGGACATCCCTTTTGCAGAAGAACCTTCACAATTCGGAAAATCCATCTTGGGTTACAGATAAGATTCCATACACAACACTACCTGGGTAGCAATGTTGCTAAAGAACTGAACTTTATTTTATTTTTTTTACAAAATGGGGAAAGAGCTCTATTTAATTTTGCTTGTATTTTATTTTTCAACATTTGTAAACAAGTTTGTTTCTAAATGTCTAAAACAGTTAAGTCTGGTCCTCTGGACATTCAAAAAGCAAAACAAACAGACAAAAAAAAATGTAGAAATGTTTCATCTCTCATCCGAGAGACTTCCTCAGTCTGAGGTGCTGTATTCAGCTCAGTCTGTTAAATAGCACCTTCTCAGAGTGGATCAACCAGTTTTGCTGCTGACAACCAGAACCAGCTGATCACATGCTCAAGAAGGAC